AAAAAAAAAAAAAAAAAAAAAAAAGATTCTCAAGACATTATTGCATACATAAATTTACACACAAAACTGGTCGTCTTTATCACTTCTCTTTTTTCTGGAATAATTATAGTTCAAATACAATAATAACATCAAACTAACAGTTTAAGTATTGTTCTAAAGATGCTTAGTGATTAAAAACTAATCAGGTATTAGAAAAAAAAAAAGTTGCATAAAAAAATAAATTAATATATTTGTAGTAATGATCAAAAAAATTGAATGCTCAAAAATAACTGATTAATTTTCAGTGATAAAATAAGCATTAACTCATATAATTTTGATAAAAACAAAAGAAAAATTACTACTTGTTAAGAATATTATACAACAATAAGAAGAATATCTTTTGATTTGACAACAAAAATTTTGTAGTAATTGTATTTTCTAAGCATTGTCTGCAATACTCAGTTTGCTCAAAGATTATTTTACATACCGTTTGTAAGTCATTGAAAAAACTAAAATATGACAAAGATGAAAAAAAAAATTGATAATGATTACTGTTCAATTTATGACATAACAGTGATCAAATTTATAAAATTATATTACAAACAAATTTGTAATAACATTGAAATGTTTTTGAAGGTTCACATTAATATCAAAAAAACAAGTTTTTTTCTGTGTGTTATTTCTTCGCTTTTTTTTTCAGACAGTTGAGAGACTGAGTGATTATCATTGTTAAAACAGGCTATACTACATTTTTATGTCAAAGATACAACTGATCAATTCAGAATCTGACAACGTTCAAATATGTATGACAATTCTGTTAGCACTTCAGAAGTTGTAAAGTGGCCTCAAAGAGCTTTATTTGCAAGATCACTATTTTTTCAACCAAATTAACGACAGTAAAAGCTGTTCTCAAATCTGTTGATGTTTCCACTGCACAGTTTCCTGGAATACACTAAAACCCAACAATAATAATAATAATAATAATAATAATAATAATAATAATGACTATAATTATAAGCCAAAACTGAAACATATATAGTCTGAATTACCAAGTAGCCCGGTGTAAAAAAAAAAAATACTGTTCTTGTAACTTATCATAAATTTAAGTTTTACAGAAAAATTCCTCTTTTTTCTTTTTGCAGAAATGTTTGATGGTTTATAAAAGTTCCTTTTTATGGTCCTGAACAAACTTGAAAATTATGTTCATTATACACATCAATTTCTTTCTTTGAGCATCTCCTTTTCGTTCTTTCTGTAGACTGTCTTAAGTCCTTCAAAATACAATAAGACAACAGGTATGAACATTTACATTTGACTTGTAATTAAATAAAAACTGTCTTTGTTTTTTGCTTTGTTTAAACTCATTTCCACCTGAAATAAATTTGTTCAACCAAATTTGAGGCATAGCCATCAATGTAAAAGTAGCTGCGATATTCACTGACCTGGAAATTTTTGTGGCTGGAGGATAAAAAAGTGCTGCATTTACTTTTCACATATTCTGAATCACACAATTGGACACTTAGAAGTTTCTGAAAAACTGACAGATAATACAGTATGAATTTAAAAAATATGGAGTAGATAACAGTACCAAGTATGAAACTTACCAGCTTCCTCACAAGACTCCACAATTGCGGTTTACAGTTACTATAAACCGTGCAGCAGTTTTTCTGGCAATCTACCAAAGTTCTCACCGAATTATTACAAAAATATTCACCGGTAAATATTCAATTTTGCAATTCTTATAAAAAGTTGTCTGGCATCGACCTACTGCTCAATTATTTGTCGATTATCAGTATTACCTGACCAAAGATTATTTTTAAAAGTGAATATCTAATTCGGAAACAGCTATATTAAATCACTTATATTCTATTTTATGTCTTCTCTAGCTTACCGCAGGTACCAACTGATTATTCTTTAGAAAACTTCAACTTTTAGGCTTATTCTACATGCTGCTGTTTGATGGTCAATTGCACTAACTGTTCTTTGTAATCGACCAAGAATAAGAAGCTCTATCAAGGTGCTGCGGTTTTGGAAATTTATTCCAACTTTTAACACTGTAGTTTAGCTCTTTTAAGGGCAAAAAAATGATTTTAAAAAATATAAGCTCATTGTTTCCTTTTAAAACAAATAAATTTTTTTCAAGCGTTGTTTTCGTTTAGATGGTTTCTGAATTTAGGCATCAGAAACAAATTTTTTTTTATGAGTTTGTGATTTAGAGAGTAGGTGCTACTTGTCAAAGTGTCTGTCTCAGAAACGAAAATGATAATTTCACAAAAGAAATTTAGCAGTGTATGCGAAAAAGTGACTAAAAAAATGATTTTTATTGTACAGTTTGTTTCCAAGCAGTGTAAATCTGAAGTAACAATTGCAATCACTGTATTTCAATTGATAAACTGTACCTTTATTCAAATACAATGATGTTTATTACAACAAATAAATTGAAGTCCGCTTTGAGACTTCAAATAAAGAAATATTGGAAAATTTCAAGCAGTTTCATAAAATGAGATTCAATAGTGGGAAAGCCAGGTTGCTTAATTTGAATATTCTGTAAGCAAAAAAAGCAGTGCGCTAGTTAAAGCAATGTAAAATGTTGCAAAAAAAAAGCCAAGATCAAATTACCAAGTGTCATACAATGTTTCTAATAAAATATTTTTTTTTGATAAACTTTATTCGTTTTAAAAAAATGAAAGTTTTTGTTTTGAAGAAACCTTCTTGTTTTTGATTTTTTTTTTTTTGCTTTAGCATAGCGATCGCTTTTATTTAAATTGTAGAAAAGATGACAAATGTGACAAATTATTATCAACTTTTTTTGTAATGAATATTGATTAATTTTTTCCATAAATCTGCCAAATGTTTAGGATTCTCAACACCCGTTGCAAATACTGACAGATTTAGAAAATCTTTTTGGTTTTCAACCTTCTTATACATTCGCAAATACCCGCCAATGTCGTAATGGCTTACGTTACCAGCAATTTCTGCTAACCGGCCGGTCATGTAAATATCTTCAAACTGCAAATGGAAAAAACCTTTCAAAGGCAGGACAAATACTTGCGTCAATCATGAATTAAAGTCAATCATCTTTTTTTTTTTGTAAAAAAAGAATTTTGATATATTTTTCTTGCTATCTCAACAGTGCAAAAAGATAATTAAGGCTATACTTAAAACATCTTTTAAAAAAAATTAAGCTAAAAAAGAGTAAAACAATAAAAAAAAGAAACCTTCAGAAACAGTGAATGTTTAGTTGCTTCAAACAGGTCTGGTAACAATGGAGCGGCAATTATGTAAAAGCCTCCAAGAATATACACCGGGTACTTGTTGCCAGAATACTCTTCTTTGGTTAAGTACCTACACGTTGAATGTGCCAATCAAAAATTACAAGACAACAACTAAAGCACAGTTACCCTACTGAACTGCCCAAAAAAAAGGTGCTTGTGATAACTTTAAAAAATATCAGTTTTCAAATTGATGTTTGAGCACCAACAACTTTTTTTTCTTTATTAGCAAGTGTCTGGTACAAGACAATAGGCTTTTCTGTAAAAAAACTTAAGGTACCATGTGAAGTAAAAATAATTAATTAAAGTCTTGGTAACCAGAACCTTTTTTAAAACTTTAAAAAATGATTTTTTGCTGTTTTACTCTTTCATATATTTATAAAACATTCAAAATTTTAAAGCTTTAAATTGCTTTAAGATCTACCATTTATTTTTTTTGTTTCGAATCACAGAAAGTCTGGGCGAGATTTTTCCGATGATAGCTCGTTGTGGATTGATTTTTGTAGGAGGAAATGATGTAAACGCTTTTAAAAATTCGTTTAACTGATACAAGTTAACTGCCATATCATCGTCGAATTTGACAACATATTCAAGTGTTGTACAAAATTCGTTTATAAAACGCAAAAGCATTACACTCTGAAAGCATGCCTATGAAATACCTGATAAAAATTAAAAATTTTTTTAATAATTCAAAATTATTAGTAGTTTCAACTTTGATAGCTCAAATCTGTAATGACAAGTGACTCTGTGCAGTAAGAAAACCTTTTAAAACTGATTATGTCTACTATAAGCAAAATATAAAATAATTATCTCAACTATAACAAAAATTTTTTGTTGCGTTGGTAAAAATAAGCATACTTTAGAAGTTATTAATTCTAAATTTGAAGGTAAGTGCTACAGAAGAGCTATAAGATGATAGGAAAATTCTAGAAACCCGAGAAAGGGCGTTTATCTAAAAGAAACGTCTGTACCGTGACGTCAGACCCCAAAAAGCAGTTTTGATTAGAACGTGTATTTGGAACTTTAACCTCAATATTCAAGTAATAAAACGTAAAGTAACCAAACAAAAAAGGGAAAGGTGCCAAAAACAAAAAAGAGAAAAAAAAAGTATTTTTATCTTTACATGGAAAAGAAAAGGAAGCTGGAGAACTTTTAACTTTTTGTAATGCTGCGGCGAGCTTTTTATTATTAGTTATCGCAGTCATTTCTTTTTGCTATAACGTTCTTTACTGATGCTTACTAATAACAACACTAACTGATAGACGTAGAATGACAACTTAATAAATTAAATTTTACCTTCTGAAATGATATGGTCTATTCAAAAGCAATTCTTTCAGAACATAGATTAGACTATGCTTTTCAAAAGCAACAAGTGTATCTGACCTTCTATAATTACTTCACCTATTTTACACGTTTTAAACTCTTAATTTTTTCTTTTAAATATTTCAAATTTAAAAAGACGGCACACTTACAATACGCTTTTTTACAGAATATCATTCTCCGATTTGCGGTTACTAATTGTATTTTTGAATACCTTTCTTGGAAGACTTTAGATTGCATATTGATGCCTGTATCAGAAAACGAGAAATAGTACAACAACAACAGTTTTTGGTAATTTATCTGACGTAGGACAGAAAAAAGTGAAGGTGTAGCATTTGATTGCCAGTCAAAGCTAAAAGCTTCAGACAGCAGTCATCTCTTAAAACCAAACTAAATTAATAAATATGAAAGATCAAAAATAACTCTAAATAACTTGTTTTTTCAAACTTAAGCACCCCAGTTTTACTAAACAGATAAGAACAAATAACAATGAGCCAAAATAAGTACATTGTAATTGCAGCAGACGACACATTGCAAAACACTACTCTTCTAAAAAATGAAAATTTCTTGTTGACTGTCCAAGTTCAGAGTAGTTTTTCTGGGAAATTTTAGATCATTTTGATTATAAAAAAAATAAAAAAAAACTAGTTATAAACGAACCAAATTATCCCACACGTAATCAATGTAGTTTTTTCAATAAGCAGTTTTTTGGTTTTCTTTTGGATTTTAGCTTTAGGCGGTATTAAACGGTAACATTGTAGTTCAAAGTTGTATTGAAGGCGAATAAGACAATTCAAAATTTGGTTCACCGACCACGAATGTAAAGCAGAAACTTAAGAAATCAACTAACATAGATTATTAAAAGTAACTTTAGGCACAGTTACACGAAGTAACCTTATAAGTTAGTGTTTCGTAGACATCCCAAAAACTCTGTTGCAAAATGTCGCGAAAAGCTAAAGCTTCTATGGTGACGTTTTCTTGTGTTTCTTGACTTACAGCTCTTCCAAGAGCAAATAATGTAACCATACCAAACTGCAAAAAAATTAGTTAAGTTGGTCAAACTGCCTGAAAACTGAGAATGAAAACTACTCTGTAATCTGCGCATATAATTTTCAGTTGTTCTCTATTCAGGTAAAGAAAGTATAATTTTTTTCTTTGTTAAAAAAATTTGTCTTTTTTGGTAGTTACAGTGTTTGCTAATTTTACTCCTGCATTTCAGTTCAAGTAAGCAAGCATCGTGAAAGGAAGAAAAAAATCTAGACCTTAGAGTAAAATTTGTCGCCATATATTTGTCGGAAGACTTCACGGTGAGAAAAGTGATTCGGCGCTGAGACGACAACTAACAAAGTTTTAATTTTTGGGTACCGTTTAGTGCAAAAGTTTTCGTCTACATTCAACCACTGGTACTGATACGGATCAATCTTTATTCTATTCCAATTAATCAAAGATGTATTCATATTTACTTTGTTGAACGCATACTCCTCCTGTTAAGTTGAAAAGATTTCAGCATTATACCGAAATAGAAACTAAAGATAGAATAGTGATTTTGACTACAAAGTTATTTTTTTTTTAAAGTTTAGTTTTTTCTTGAGTAAAGTGAAGAAACGATACAGACAGACTTTTGTTTTGTCTTTTTTTTAAGTGAAAAAGTCCTCGAGTCATAAAGTAAAGGTATTAGTAGGGTTAAACAATGAAAATACACGTACAGTAATATCGATCCGATGATGTCTTATTTTTACCGTCGTTTTTGTGCCGATATTGAACAACGCAAAATAACCAAGAAATACAGTAAAGCAGATCCAGAAGGTCAGAAACCAGTACCGCAGCATTCTCCTTTTGAGTTTTAATTTGGTTTAAACATTCAAAGTAGTATCCTCTACTCTTCAAAAGAAAAAAATAAATAAATAAATAAATAAAATTAAAAAAAATAACAAAACGTTTAAAGTTTTTTAATCTGTATAATGACTAAAGGTTTTTATCAAAATGGAAATTGCTCAAACTTCACCAGGAAACTGTGCGTCAAATGATAGAATCACACAAATGCATCATGAATATAAAGTGGGAGGTAGTAATGACACTGAAATAGTACCCAATGTCAGTAAACAATCAGATAATAGAGTACGTACATTGTCTACAAAATTTTTTTTACTTTGATTTTGTCAAAATACATCATTTTTTGTTTAAGTCTATCTGCTTAATGTTGCTGTCTATTACTAAAACTGTAACAATAGTAATTGAACATTAAATACTGCACTCTAATTATAAATTATTCTTTTGTTATCTGGAAGCTAATAATCGATAGTAGAAAATAATGTGAATCTGACATCACTTTCAAAAAGATAAAAAAACTTTTTTTTGTGAAATTTACTGGCTTAAAAAGTGTATATTATTAATTAACACCTTTAAATTTGGTGATAAGAAATAATGTGAATCTGACATCACTTTAAAAAAAAAAAAAAGTTTTCTTAGTGAAATTTACTGGTTTAAAAAAACTGTCTTGTATTAATCACTACCTTTAAAGTAAAAAAATACCAAACATAAACTATAATTGCTGTTTAACTCTCGTGAAAAAAAATATTTTTATGATAAACTACGTCTCAGGATTACTAGTTTATTGCTTAAAAACCTATCTTTTATTTTTGCTTCCAAAAATCAGATTTCAAATAATGCTGAAACAAGATTTTTATATTAATTTTAGTTTTTATAAGCTTTACAGTTTTGCGTTGTTACCAGAAAAACAGTGATTATACAGTAAACATGAAGAAATGTTTAAGAACAGTCATCAATTGTCAAGATGAATTGAAAAAGTCAAGTTAAAATAAAGACCAGCAAGATCATGGCGATTCTTACTGTTGATACTCTTATAAAATTTGATAAAACTTAATATTAATTGGTTTTTTTTTAATATGACTTAAGCTTTAAGTAAAATTTTAGTATTGTTTAATCAGACTGACAACCAGAGCTTCAAACACTGTT